AGGTGATTGGCCAGTGGCAGTACCCAACTGTGGCTTGATTCCGAGGGAAGAGAGGTGCTCAGAGCAGAGAATGTTCTGACTTAGACTGAAAAGGCTCCCTCCGGCTGCCCTGGGGACAGCAGAGCATGACAGGGCAGGGCCGGAGACAGGCACACAGCTCCAGCACCAGAACACACGATCAGCTCATGGACAGTCGTCTGCAGGAACCAGGGCAGCCTGTGCAGGGGATCATCCAGACAGTCCGCTGTCTGGAGACACCAGCTCTCCAGCCCCCATCTCTGCAACGTCCCTACATCCCAAGTCCTGCCAGCTCAGCTTTGGCTCTTAGAAACATCCAGAACCTTCCTCTTGTGTCCACCACGAAACACCCTGGTGCCTGCCCAGCTGCAGGCCTCACGCTCCATGCCCGGGGCCATGTCTCTCCAGCGCCCCCTCTGCTCTCCTTCTAAGACAGCAACTGAGCAGCGCATTACATGAACTTGACCGGTTTATGCCTTCTCATCACCGGGGAACAGACCCCAATCCCTCGTCACCTGCTAGCACCATCTCTCGGCCTCCCTCTGCCGTGGCACCTGGGCCTGGGTCCTCTACGCGCCCCGGCTTCAGGGCCTTTGGCGGCTCGAGCCCTCTTCCCACTGTGCCTCCCCATCGAGACCTGAACTTTCCCACTTTGAGTCCCTCCCACAGCCTCAGTGCTCTGTCCTTCCCTGCTCTCTGTCCTCTGTCACAGGCTTCTCCCACTAGAGCCAATCTGTGGGACATTTTGTGTGTGGGCCATTCCCCTCCTGGATTGTAATTCTCCAGAAGACGAGATTTTTTTTTTTTTGGAGAGATTTTCACTGTAGGGCGCGTGCGCTCGCCAGACAGAGAGAGACATAGAGACAGAAAGCGAGAAATCACCCCCAGGGGGGATGGTCACACCGCAATCCCTTCTCTTCCATTCTCCTCTCGGGATCTTGGGCATGCACGCACACACGCCCGGCATGAGTTTTAAGCCACCGGGTCCAGGACGCGAACCATGGTTGACTACGTGGGAGTCCAACGACATAGCCATTTCGCTAACTGCTGGTTCCTGAAGACGAGATTTCTAGGCCACACGTACCCACAGCCTGACAACGGTCTGGCACCCTTGGGTATTTGCCGCCCCTCCCTCCTTGCTCTTGGCTGAGGGCCCTCCCAGGGCACCAGGGTCAAGGGCAGGGCTGGGGTGCGGGGTGCAGTGTAGGTGGCCGTGCGGCCAGGCGCGTGCCTGGGCGGGGAGGTGGCCTGGTGGGCGGGCTGCAGACCTCCGCAGTGGGTCGTCCCGTAGAGCGTGTAGCCGCGGTGGCACAGACACCGAAAGCTGCCTGGGGAATTGATGCAGGTGTGGTCGCAGGTCCGCTCGAAGGAGCACTCGTCGATGTCTGCGGGGCCACAGGGAGACAAAGCATCGGAAGGTTTTGGGGTGTGCGGGGAGCCTGTCAGGCAGGCGGTCAGGGCTCGTGTGTGCTCGCGTGCCCCTGGGTACTGAGGCTCAGCGCGGAGCTGACCCACAGTAACTGCTAGACGCCTGCCCACTTCCGCTCTGTCTCCATAACCTTCTGGCTCTGAGTCAGAAGCCACCCTGGATGGTTTCCAGAGACAAGCAGGGTAGGAACTCTGCAGTGGAGACAGTGCTGTGAGCCTGCCCCTTCCACACCTCATACCAGCTGTGATTGCACAGCTACCCGCACGGGCTCCAGGGCTCTGGCCAGCCACAGTGGTGCAGGCGGGGGGTGCTACTGCGCGGTCCTGGAACCTCACGGGAGGCCAGGTTGGGTCCCAAGTTGACCTAACACTGGTGTGCCTGCAATACGCCTGTGATCCAGGCTACGTGGAAGGCTGGAGCGAGGACGGTGGCATGCGGAGATCAGCCAAAGGAGCCTGCCTCTTTCTCTCTCATGAAAATAAGTACACTTAGAAAGAGATGGGGAGCTCTTACAGTATGCGAAACCTGATTATGAGCGTCTCGGGAGTCGAGGTGAAAGGGAAAGGGGGAGGGCCACGAGTGCTTGTTACTGGAAAGGGGGAGATAAACACGCTCACAGGACACAAGTGTCTGAGGAAAACGGCTCCTATGGGACAGCTAACGGGAGCCCCTGCCGGCAAAGCAGACACTGCCTTTCCTTTCCATGGGCACGGACGTCGGGGTCCGTTCTTCGAATGCATTAGTCCCGTGACTCCATGTTCAGAACACACGCACAGTTACAGAAACAGCAGCACGAGGGAGGGTCTGCACTGAGGGTGCTCAGAGGAGGCGATCCTCCCAGGGGCCGGGGTGGACCTCCTGGTGCTTGTGGCGCCTGGGCTAGACCAGAGGATGGGGCCGAGCCGGACTGATGGGATGACAGAGGAGGAGGGTGTGCCAGGCAAGGTTGCTGGGGGCAGTGCAGACTGCCCAAGTGGGAGCTCGGGGTGGAGTGGAAGGCACTGGGGGTCCCATCCTGAGGGCCCTGAGGGCCAAATGAAGGAGCTTAGACCTGAAAGGCCAGATTCCCAGGGCTTCAGAGTGACCTGGAAGAAGGTAGAGAAAACACAGGCAGGACGGGGCAGTTTGGACGCAGCCTCACCCAGAGCCAGGAAGCAGACACGCCGTCTCGGCTCCTCCACCTGCGTCCCTCTCAGGACAACACGCATGGTCAAGGCCCCCTCCTGCCCTCCCCACAACTCGGGGGTCCAGACATACGCCAGGCCCCCGACCGGGCCTTGTGCTGGGACAAAACTAGCCCACATGGAGCTACTGCCGAGGAGACGGAGCCCCTCCTCAGCCACGCAGGCACGCTGTCCCTCCGTCCGCTCTCCCAAGGCTGGTCCCATGGGCACCTCGTCCCCTCCTCTTTGGCCTCATCCAGCCCCACCGAGCCCCTTGTGGCCTCCCAACTCCAAGCCCAGTGGCACTGCCTCCTGGGTGGGCCTCCCCTGCTCCTGGAAATGTCTGCTGGTCCTGTGGGCGTTTCACAGGCGGCCTTCCTGACCACCCTCACTGTCCATCCACTGGGCATCTGCTGGGCTTGTCCTGGGCAGTGATTCTGGGCATCTGCCCAGAGCCCCCTTCCATTTTCCTTGTCCCCAGCAGGTGCCCAAGGACCCTGAGGAAGGACAGGGGAGGGCGCCTGCAGTGCACACTGCATTCCACCAGGTGGCAGCATTCCACCTCGGAAGCCAGTGAGGCCATTGAAGGAGGCCTAGGGCCACCCGGGAGGGGAGGGGCAGGATAGAGCTGGGGCATGCCCTCACCCCTCCCTGGGCCTCTGTGTCCCATCTGTAACAGGTAGGTCTGGGTGGCCCCTAGAGTCACAAAGGACAGGGAAGGCAGGGGTACCCAGTAAGGGCTGGGGAACCACAGCCATCCCACACGCCCAGCCCAGAGTGGCCCAAGCCCGCCCACACGTCCTCCTCCTCTCCCAGAAACCTGCATGAGCCCAGGAGGGAAGGCCAGCAGCCCTGCTGGGACCCACGGGGCTGGGGCCGCCAGCGCGCAGGACGCCCACCTTGACACGTCCGCTCGTCGGTCAGCAGCTTGTAGCCCTTGCGGCAGCCGCACTCGAAGCTGCCCACGGTGTTGCGGCAGAAGTGGTCGCAGCCCCCGTTGTTGGCCAGGCACTCGTTGATGTCTGGGGGCGGGCGGGAGGGAGGCAGGAGTGAGCGAGACCCGGGCTGGGAGCGCACCGTCCTGCCAGGGCTGCCTCAGGGCGCCTGGGAGAACTGGGGCCCTGGCCCCACCCCCCACCGAGCAGATCCAGCGCATCCCATGCCCCGGCGCAGCCCCTGGTGTTCAGGGCCCAGAGCAGAGAGGAGCTGCTGCCTGCCTTGCCGGGTAAGCTGGGACAGCGATGCCCACTGTGACTAGAGCCACACACTCGGCAGCCGCCCAGACGGCAGTGAGGCAGGCAGGCTGGCACCACTCTGGCAACCTCGGGCACACTGCTGGGTCCCCCGAACTCAGGCTCCTGCCTTAGAACGAGGGTGAGAGTGCACCCCCTTTGGAGGCCAGCAGGAAGGCTGCGTTCTTCAGATTTTTACAAAGGTTTTATTTTCCATGTTTGGTCAGGAGCCACAGGCTGGGAAAGGTCAAAGGCCCCCTTCCCGAGGCTGCAGCTGGTCAGTGGGAGCCAGGCCTCGCCCCCGGGCCTGACTACCAGCACCCCACCCGGTGTGCTGCCGCTTGTCCGAGCTGCTTCCTTAGTCAGCAAAGAATGACTTACAGCTGTTCTCCCGGGGTCCCTCCCCAGTCCCAGCAAGAAACAGTGCCCCTTCCCGGCAACCCTGCCGCTTGGCCTCTGCTCAGACACCGTGTGACGGGGTGCCCCCCAACAGCGTGGCCTGCCGGTTGATGCACCCAGGGCTCGTCTTCACCCTGCGCACGGCCCTGACCCGTGTGGCATCCTCCCCCAGCCCCTCATCTGGGCTTCGCTCTCTGGGCCCCAGACTGGCCTGGTGTCCTGCGCTGCCCAAGATCCTGCCTGGGCCTCCTCTCTGGCAGATGCAGCCCCAGCTACTCCTGTGTCCCTTCCCTGCAAGGTGGCTGGGCGGACGGCTCCCTGTTGGCCACTGGCAGGTCTCAGCAGGATGGCCAGGTGCACTCCAGCCTCCACAGAGCCCAGCCTGAGCCAGGGTGCTGGGTCAGCTGCCAGACACCCTGTCCTGTGTAAGTGGCACTGCCCACAAGGACGGTGAGCCTGTCCCAGCTGAACAGGCTGTGGAGGGCCTGATCCGGGCACAGCTGTCAGGCCCTGGCCAAGCCCCTCACCAAGCTCGCACTTCTTTCCCCACAAGCTGGCTGGACTCGACGTGCCCAAAGTTCTGAAGCAGCATTCTCAAGGATGCACCCCACACCGACAGACAAAGCCCGCCGTCTGGTGGAGGGGGTTAGAATGCAGGCTTCAAGAGCGTGAGAAGAGGTACCCGTGCAGGCACCTGGGCACTGTCTGCCAACAGCTCACGTGGTCCGTGTTTTTTCTTCCCCCAATTCACGTATTTATTCTTCTACGAAAGAGACACAGAGAGAGCGACAGAGACAGAGACATCCCCAACAGGGTCCGCACCCCATGTTCTATCCCTCCCCCTCAGCCAGCCTTGGCCATGGGCACGGTGGGGGTGGGGGGGTAGGCCCAGCCTGTAGAGGGAGCCCGCTAGACGCGAACCCGGGACCTCCATGTGCAGCCTCAGCACTGTGAGTCTGTGTCGGTCCTGTGTCAGTGCCGGCTCTGGCTGGCCTCCTGTGATTTTATTTTTTTTTCTTGCAGAGGTTTTTGCCTTAAGGCAGATATGTTTGCCAGAGAGCGAGACAGAGACGGTGAGAGGGAAAGTGAGAAATCACCCCCCAAGGGGGATGGCCATGCTGCAATCCTTTGTCCATTCTGGGATCTTGGGTATGCATGCACACAGGCCTGGTGGTGTTTAAGGCACCAGGTCCGGGGCTCGAACTGTGGTTGGCCATGTGGGAGTCCAGCGATGTAACTGCTACAACAGCCATCTGCTGGCCCTGGCGTCATGTGATTTCCAATGGAGAGAGCAGACTCCATTTTCCGGAGGTGATCTCAGAGGCGGCTCGGGAAGCTGGCCTCTCAGGCACATCGCGCTGGCCCTGCGGCTACCTGAGCCACGTGAAGTCCAGGGTGGCCGGGCTGAGGCTCAGGCACCTTCATCATGCCCTCCCCTCCAACTCCTAGGGTTACAGGAAGATGGGGGAATTCCAACTAGAAGCCTCAGGCGGGCGCACAGAGGCCTGTCTTGGCCAGGTATGACGGGGAGGGCAGGGAGCGCCCTGAGCCGCTTCCCCATCTGCGCTCAGGACCTCCCCTCGCACTGCTGCCGAGATGAGTAAGCCAAGGCCGCTGAGCAGACCGGGCGTTATCATGACTCCTACCTCTCGGCAAGCCTCAGGCCCTGGACCCCCAACCCATTCCTTTTTCCATCTGGGCCTGCCAGCTAAGGGGCTGTCATAGCAACCAGACGCGGAGGGAGGCATGTTTGTTTGAGGCCCAGGCTGGTGTAGCGGGCTGCCAGGGGCCAGGGTGTGGGGATGTCGGGATGTAGTGAGGGGGTGCTGGTTGATGTGGCCCCTTGACCTCTGTTCTGATGGGCCCCACGGGTCCAGTTTCTGCACCCCTCTTTACGGCTGCGCGCCCACCATGATCCCACTGCCCACTGGGCAGCCTGCAGCCCTGCCACCACACACTAGTCAGGCTGTGTACCCTACAGCCCGCAAATCTTGTGGGGCTTCCGGCTCCCCTGGATGAGGCCCAGTCTATCTGCAGACAGACTCAAGGCTCCTGCTGCAGCGGCAGGCTTGGCTCTCACCAGCAGCCCTGGCGCTGGCCGCCCAGCCGGCACAGCTGTGGCCACCGCTGGCCG